GTTCGTGCTGCTGTTCGACGTATTGTTTCTATACCACTAGTGTTTAGTGTATTTCCAGTTGATGTTTTTCTTAGTTCATATCTTAGATCTTATCACTGTTTTTCGTTTACATTTTATACTTTTGTTAGATGTAACTGGGACCCTGTGTACAAAGTTTTGTTATTTTATGACAAATAAAGAAACTTTGACTTTGATCTTCTACATGTATAAGTCTGTTGTAGAGAGCGCTGTCTCTTCTGCATCATCTGCTGGGGGAGCAGCACCAGAGCAAGCGACTTCAAAAAGATCAACAAGCTCATAAAGAAGGCTGGCTCAGTTCTGGGGACTCCTCTAGAGCCTTTGGAGATGATTGTTCAAAGAAGGATTCTTCATCAAATGAAGAACATTATAGACAACCCTCAGCATCCTCTTCATCAGAGTGTCATACAACAACAGAGTGTCTTCAGTCAGAGGTTTCTTCAGATCTGCTGTAGAACAGATCACTACAAGAGATCCTTCCTGCCACAGCATCAGCATCTACAACAACTCTTTAATGAAACCAGGATGATGAATTACAACATTTAATTTTCCTCTGGGATTAATAAAGTATTGTTGAATTGAATTAACTTGGTTGAGTCCCCCCATTGTTCTGGTCCACTTCCATTTTGAGGAGCGAGTTTGAATCGTTTCTTACTTGAAGTTGTTTTGGGGGATTTAGTCTTTTTAGTATTTACAGCCTTTTTTTCCCCTTTGCATTTGTTTTATTGATTGTATGTTTTTGTCTTCTGTTTTTCTTTTATCTTTGATTCTATATTTTTTTCTGTTGCAGAAGTTTGAATGTTTTTGAGTTTGCAACGTTCAACTGTTTGCAGCTCATTTGCACCTGTCGGCCCCCGTACCAAACACACTGGAAAAAAATAGCTACATTTGTCACTCATCTCTTATAACTTGCTAGAGGGGTCTGAAAAATTGCAAAAGTTAATAAGTTGGAAACACTGGAGTTTCCAAGTATAGGCTGGGTTCATCCAGTGACGTCGATCAGCGACCAATCAACAGCTGCAGTTTGCTGATGTCAGGTCGTTCTGTTGGCTCGGCTGAGGCGAGTCCAAAAACCAACAGGGAATGGAGACAAATGGCCGACGCTGAGTCGATGGGAGCTGAGTAAAATAACATCCATTGAGAAGCAGCTAAATAATCCAGCCCAGTTACTTCCCAACAAAATACCTAGCTGGGTTTTTGGGGCTCCAGTGGTTCATGAAATATTTTGTTAAAAAACTCAAATGAATACACACATGCAAAAACATCAAAACACTACGGCTGCTTTTTGTCAAAGGTTACATGAATATAACTTTTAAAAATCCTTACATTCTATAAAGGAATGAGTGAGTCTACAGAATGGTAAATAAATGTTTTAGAGGCTAAGTTCAGTTTTATACTGCAAACAGTCTTGGAAAATATTAATGTTAATTAAGGAGGTGAATGAAATTAGATCTTT